ACCCCAATGGCAGGCACACTCATTATATCTCTGTTTCTGTTATATTCATTTATAAGACACCTTCCTGCAGCTTTGGGCATTTTTATTCAAACTCCAGAGCCTAACAGTAGGAGTGAGGCAAACACCTACAGCTGGTGACTACAGAGGATGAAAATACAGCATAACGAGTGTGTGTTTGGCACTTTAGCCATGACGTTATTCAATCAGGCTTTGCTACTTCCCAGTGACAACATATACACATGGATGGACTTCCAGATATATCAGGAACCTTGGCTTTGCTTTTATTTTCAACACCATTTTTTTATTTCAAGTATTTTTGCCTTTTTACATTTGTCTTCACTTACTGACCACGTAGGACACTTAAAAGGAAATATGTTGTGCATCACCAGTCAAGCTAAAAATATGATAGAGTATGGTGTGACTTTTTGGCCAGTATCAGACATTTGCACTGTGTGATGCAGGCTCAGAATGCACTGATTTTAAAATGTAATTGTGCTTTTACCAAAATGTCCAAACAAAAGATTTTTCTATGAGTGTTTTCCTTTTGATTGTTTTAACCTCTTACTGTGCAGTAAGGTGCTTTGGTATCCAGGGGTCTGGAAGGTTCTCCTGGCTGTAGGACCTTCACCCTCCGTTGTGATGGCCTGTACCTCCAGCCTGTACAAACTAGCAGGGCGTAGGCCTGACACCACTAGAACATTACCATCCTGAAAGAGAGGAGACAACAAGTCAAGGAAACGAACGGGACAAAGTGTGAAACACTCATGTTGTGTGAAAGTGCAGGACGACTGAACCAGCTTTCAGCTCAGGGCCCCTGAGATTTGCCCACAGAAGAAAATAATTTTGAACTTGCATTTAAACTAGAAAAGAGAAAGCCAAGTATTTCACTGTACTATCACAAAACTAAGACACAAAGAAATCGATATCAGCAGACGGTGATTTTTGTTGCTTTTTTACATTTAATCTGATCAATTTCTCGTTTCATGTGTGAAAGCAGCTCCCAGCCTGGCAGATCCCCAAAGAAGGCATCCCCTAGAACCAGTAATAACCATGCATTACAAAGGTCAGAGACCAGTAATAGAACTGGTAGACAGACAAGCGGAGATAAGTAGCCCATGGCCTCAATACGGTGGCTGAGGATGCCAAAGAGTGGAGCGGATGAGCTCAGAAAATTAGGAATTGGAGGAGAAGAGATCAAAGGAAATTATGGACAATGTAAGAACCTGATAGATGAATGAGGGGAAACCTCAGTCAGGTAGTGATGTGGCTCGACTCTGAACTGTAGCTCAAATGATAGATGGCAGAAGCTGCCAATCTAGTGCTGGAGAAGTGAGCTGCTGCATTTTGGGAAAGAATGTTAGGGAAGAGAGAACCTGGCTAACTTTCTGCTGCATTAGTACGTAAGGGATAGACACAGGGAACCTGCCGTCGTACAGAAAGGAATCGCTGCTGATTAGCATCTGAAGGCCGGATGCAGGGAGACTGGCCAGTTCTACAGAAAATTGCTTCTGCATTTTGCGAATGAAAACTTGTTTTTTGGAAACGATAGAAAGATGCACAGAGCTGGTCTCCAGAAGGCAGAAGGGTTTCCTGCAGAGAAGCTTGTTGCTGCATTCTGCGACTGAGGGATAGAGAAAGAATCTGGCATCCCAGTTCACTGCTGAAGGGTTCACTGCTGCTTTGTATATGAAGGATCAATGCGGAAAAACCAGCATCCCAGTGGGATAGAGAGGAGGGAAACTGGCAAACCAGTGCCCCCTCTTTTTTTTTTTTGCAAATGATAGATAGATAGGTCTGTGGGCCTGTTCCAGAGCAACGTGAGTGGAGCTGTGAGCTTTGCTGGTGGGTGATCTTGTTGAATTTCACGGAGGTGGCGAGTGACCAGAGTTACTTCATAACTGAGGGTATTCGGCATTCGCCATGACGTTGAGAGTGTTTGGGTTTCTTGGATTGCCTGGAGGCAAACCGATGAAGCAGAGCTCTGTAGTTCTTCGTCTGACGTGGTGACGGACAAGAGGGCGACTGTAAGCAAATGGAAGGGTGACTGAGGGACTTTTTTTGCCTTTTCCTGCTTCAGTTCCAGCAGTGATGAGTTCCCTTCACTGTGCCTTTTCTCTATTACTGGTTTAATAGTGAGTAAAGACAGATGTCGTTATGCATCTCTCACAGACTTTAGAAAAGCTGGTGACGACCTTTAGGCCCAGTATGAGTTGAGTCACTTTTACAGGTTAAAAACTTAGATGCTCATCGTGGTTCTTTATTTGTACATTTGTACATATAACCAGCAGTCGAGGCACACTGCAACTCTCTCATCTGGAGCATCTCTCAGTCATGCTCAGGGCTTTGATGTTTTGCAATAAGGTGGATTTTGCCATACCAAGCAATACATGTATTTTAAAAACAGCACTTTTCAGATTTAATTTTCCACATTGTATAGTTTAGTAAAGTCACTTCACTGACCGGCGGTAGGATCTGGGACTGGGAGATCAGGGTGCGAGGCAGCTTGACATTGTAGTTGCGGTTAGTTGAGATGACTTCTGCCCAGGTAACCTGGTAACCAGTTAGCTGCTGGTGGGATGAAGTCATAGATATATCCCAGCTAAAGATAGCTGTCACATTGCCCCCCAGGACCTCAAAAGATGCGATCAGGTTGGTTGGTTTCACCAGGACTTTCTGAAGATTCATAGCTGAAAAATACACAACCGGACAGTCCAATGAAGTCAGATAGTGGAAAGGTTTTCCTCTCCATGAGGAAGCAAGTGGCATAAACTTCCAATCACTCACCAGAAGAAGTATAAAAACAGACAGACTGGAACATGATTATGCCTCCTCAGGCAGTTTTGAATATTATGATTCCTCTGAAATTACATTTCATGTTTACATCATTGTGTATTTATACTGCTTTTGAAATGTGAAGGGTTAAAATGGGAAAAACTATCTGGAACGTTTTCTGGCACCTTCAGGAAATGAGTAGTTAAATCTGACAGATAAATACACAATACTGAGGTTTGCATGTTGTGCTCCAGCCGACGACATCCCGATATTTGCTCAGTATTAAGAAAAGGTGTCGATGCTGTGCTACCTCAGAAGCTACTGAAAAAAGCATACATGCATTTACCTTTTAAGGTCATTTGAAGCACATCTTTTCAAACAGCTCAACAAATATCAAATCAAATCAAATCAAATCACTTTTATTGTCACATCACATGTGCAGGCACACTGGCACAGCACATGCGAGTGAAATTCTTGTGTGCGAGCCCCACAAGCAACAAATACCATCAAACAAAAGATTTTAATATGTGTACTTTGTTACTGCATCATTGTAACTAATGTAAAAGTGCTATTTTTACCAGAAGGAAAAAAATATGTTAATGTCATGGTAATGTGATGGACACTCAATGGAGAGGTGTAAGAAAGAGAGGACATGAGAGGAAGTTAAGATTTTATTTTGAAAGGTAAGGATTGCTCAACAAGTGAGATTTGATAATCTGGAAAAGTTCAATTTAATTTATATTATATAATTACACCTATATGTACTGTTGCATTATGTTTTTGTTAACTTTCAAAACTAACTGAAGCGCACAAATCTTTGTGTCATTCGAGGATTGTGTGAAAAACGGGGCAGTTTAATACAGGCTACACTGACTGGTTTGCAGTGTTGCTATTTACAGTTGCATTTGCTGCACTATTTTGCACCATGTTATCATCATAATTCTTTTCTCAGCGTTGCACTACTACACCCAGTCTTAAAGTTGTCTCACATCCCATTTCCAAGTTTAACCCCGATCATGGGTGTAAAGTTTCAAATTCCCCAAACGATGTACGGAAGGTAGGGGAGGGGCTGGTTGCATCGAGAGATTTGATTGGTCAGTAATGTTTTTATACATATGTGTGCTGTGAGTCAGGATTGTTTTGTGTCTAAAGAAAAAAAGGCTTGATTAGAAGCTAACAGAGTTGACCTCGCTGACTCGTGCTGCATTTAGAAAGTGTTGAGGTGTGCAGACACTGATAAGTAAAATGAAATAAACAAGCCATTATGCGTTTGCCTCACCGGTTTCTCTGGGACAGTTGACAGGTGTTGGACTCTTGGCCTGGATGGTGGTGCAGGGAGGCGTATGAAAGCTGGTGCCTTCTGCCAGAGGATGACTCGTCTTGCTGACTGGCTGCAGAAGGACTTTGTACTTACAGGAGAAGAGTAAGCCCTGCAGGCTGATAAAGCTCTCCTAGATTAGACAGACAGGGTGTGAGCATGGCTGACTGGAGACTGATTCCCAATTTCAGATTACTGCAACTCTTATTTCACAGCAGGCAAGGCAAAGACTAAAATCACCTGTTCACGATGCATACGTTGTCTCGTCTTATCAATAACAAGATTAATAAAAGCAGTCCTTTTTATCTGTACCACCCATGTGATGCCTTTCAACTCTGTTTTATTTTGGCTATGGAAATGAAATAATTTCACCTCCATGATCAGAATGATACTCATTTATTTGAATAGGGTTACCTTTGTACTGGTCTCCTCCACAGGGCTGGTCTGGTTGTGTCCGCAGTATTCAGGTCCCCACTGGATTCTGTAGAATTCAACCAAAGGATCTGCACACAACAAGCCAGAGAAGAAGCAATGTTTATGTTGAGTCTTGCACTTTGTTCATTAGCTGTATTATACTGCTATGTCCACGCAACCTTTAAAGTGTTTTTCTTCTTTGAACCTGCTTTTTGAAACCTAGTTATGTGATGACACAGATCAGAATGTTTTGCTCTGTCGCTTTTTCCCTCACGCTTCCTCTGAGTGCTTTTATGGAGGTTGTTAGGATGAGAGTTTATACTGTAAGGATCCACCAGCTGTTATTCACTATAATACCTGACAAGGTGACGAGATTTGAATACTCATTCATGAGATCCAATATGGTGTCTCACTCCCATTTCTGCTTTATCAGATAACATATTCACTTTTTATTTCATGACCTATAACCCTGTTTTCAGGTCCATGGTGGAGATCTAGGATTTTACTGCAGAGATTTAGGTTTTTGATTCCAACCTTGCAGAAACATTAAACCACCAGCCCTGTTGTGATTGGGGCCATTTGTGGTGTCTTCTTGTCATGTGATGACACTTGTCTCCAGTCACCAAGCACTCGCTCGGTGAACGTGTGTGCTTCCAACCACAGCCCTAAAACTTCAAATACATGAATTTATATTCACCCAAATCTCTGCAGCTTCCACTGTGCTGGATGATTCTGTCACCACCTGTCACCAGTCCTCCCAATCCTTTCTGCTATTTCGTTCTTCATCCTTGTTCTTAGGGTAAAGGTTTTAGCAGTGCTGCGCTGTGTCTTCCTTTTTTCCAGATACCTGAGCCATTATTTTTAAATGTCAGCTAACTACTGAGCTTACTGCCCCATGTACACTAATAAACCTTTACTAAACTGCTGAACTTTTAATCATTACATCTTATTTCTGACCTGTATGTGGGTTAAAGCCCAACAACAGCTTAGTGTATTCCTGCGTTTCCATATCCTGCACAGCCTTCGGGCTGCAGAGAAATAGAGCTGTTTCTAGAAGCGAGAGGTAAGAGCTCACAGTTTGCATCATTGAAAGACGGATTGTCAGTCACATCAGGGAAAGATTACGGGAGCGACTAAATCCCTCACTCCACGGGACATTTTTGCACAGTCCACTGTTTGGCAGGTCATCATAACTCTTTCCTCCCCTGTGTTAACTGTGAGTGTGGTACAGAGCATTTATTTAGTTTTTAACTTTGAGTCTGTGTTCATGAAATTGTGTTTTTGCTCTGTATACTTTAGTTTTGTGCAGTTTGGCACTGACTGCTGTGATGCAGTAGTTTCCTAGAGACATTTAGCAGCTCTAACCTAAGCTCGTGTTTCAAGATTCGCTTCAGCCTCTTGCTGATGTTGTGAAACTGGTGGTTAACATTGTGTCTCATGGCAGCAGACCAGCCTCCTTCCATAACATGAATTACTCATCATATTTACACCTTCTGCACAGAAAATGCGTTTCTTTTTCAGAATGACGTGTATTGCAATTTTTGCTGAGTAAACCTTGGCACATTTATCTCTGCACGCTGTTTCAAGCGGGGTATTTGTCTTTTAACAGCAGTTGTTTGAACGTTTGCAGAGCAGCTGCAGGATAGCTCAGATGTTACGTGTGATATGATTTGTACATACCCACGCTTCTCTGCCAGTAAACATGAACCCTGAGCTGTCCGTCCTGGTAGAACGGTGTCCCCACATCCAGGACATCACCTGCAGGGCTTCTGGGAGCACTCGTGCCTTCAATACAGACAGAATACAATTAAACATGAACTGCATCACATACAGTGATATCCAAACACATGCCATGACACAGCCGCAGGTACAAAAACCTTTGGTATCAATCATTGGAGGTAATTATTTTCTGTATGACTTGTATGTCTCAAGCTGCTGTGGAGGAATTTGGGCCCCCTCTTGATGCTGGTGGTCTGTGAACAGCTCTTCTAAGGTCCCATCACAGTATTTCATGTGGAGGTCGGGACTTTGGGCCACAGCTTTCTGTTATAGATTTTGTCCTGTTGAAGAGTTGCTGTTTTGCAGTCGGTGCACTAGCATGAACTCAATACTAAATATGCTAACTGAGGCCTTTGCAGTCTGACTCTGGATGAATTTGCTCGGGCTCCTGGGATGGGTAACCATCTTGAATCTTTCCACACATGAATAATATTGTTTCCTGTGGTGTACTTCGTTATAACCCTTCCCAGACTGATGATTACATCACTGCTGATGTCGTTCCTCCTCAGTGTGTTAGTACACACCTGAATGCTGCAGACTTTGACTCTCATCTACTGATAACCTCTTAATAAAGTGCATCTGACTGGGAGAAGCTGGACACCACTTACTTTTCCTCCTAATTCGGATGGAAGCAGTAAGGCTGCGCTGCACAACAGCATAACCCTGTAAAACCTTTGTTTTTCACATGACTACCTTTATGTTACCTAATCTCAGTGAATACAGAGCGTCACTGTGGAAAGCTGATAGGTCGATCTCATTCAGGGTTTTTTAGAAGATAAAGTTGAAAATGAATATTAACTTATCATCAACTAGATGTACAGTAAAACCCAAAGTAAACAGAAACTGACTGAGGGCCTCCATTGCACATCAGAACGTGTAGGTTTGATGACAGTTTCTTCGTTAGTATTAACTATGACTTTATTTTCCCATCCTCGTGGATTATTCTGTATCTGCATGCAACAGTTATTCCCACCCGTGTCACACGGGGGGCTGTGCACGTGCTGATGCATCTCCAGTCTCTGTTTTCAGCCTGTTACCTGTGATTTTAATGCTTCACTTTCAAGTTTTTATCATTTCATCACTGCAAGACTTAGAATAAAAAAGCAGTTTCTCCTTTACATTAAAGACAAATCTGTACATTTAATTTTGCCAATTCGATATATACATTTGGAGGCGGGGCTTATCACAACGTGCTTTTGTGAATGAACTCTGGTTTCCAAGCTTGTGAAGGTTTTTCCAAGAACAGAAATCCTTCAGCTTGTGAAAATGCTGAAAAACACACATACTTTGCATTTTAATGTCACGTACAGAAAACGTTGATGTGCTGGTGAACCTTTTCACCTTGAACGTTCACACGCCGCTTTCTGCTCTGCACAAAAGCACAGACGCTGACAGCGACTTCACTCCTTCTTTCATGAGGCACTCACTCTCACGCTCATTTCTGTAATTGTCAAGAACATTTCTATTTTTTCTTTGTATAATGTCAACCACCTCTTTGAAAGGAACGCCTCGACATTTTGAATTTCAAAGCTAAGAGTTTTCAGCCCCGTCACACTGATAAGTTTGTAGGTGTGGAACGTTAAGGTTGCATCTGGAGTGAAGCTCTGAGATACAGGAGATCAAAGATTGAACATCCCAGCAGGAGAAAAGCTTTGAAATATTAAACCCCAACGTGCTTTTTTTAAAAATAAAAAGTGTCACCATAAGAGTGTAAAAGCAGACCTATCGATTATACAAACGGAGGAAGCTTTCAGAGCGAGCCTAAACATCTGAACACGCTTCTACACTTTGGGGAAATTTTAAGCCGACATGAAGACGTTTTCTTTTCTTCACGACAAAATTTCGAGCTGGAGCTGAAAAAGCCTCGGTGTCGCGTGCGTGTTTCCGTACTTTGCTGCGTGGTGAAGTGGAGGACAGCACGCGGTCCTTTGAACTGAGTTTGTCCCCAGTAAGACACAGCCTGAACCTCCACACTGTAGCTCCTGTTGGTCCTCATGCTGTCCAGCTCCACCTGGCTCTGTGCACACAGACACACAATTAGGCACACACCACACCACTGATTCCATGTTATATTCAAGTCATATTTGCTTCCAGTTGTGATCACAGATGTAAACATGCTACACACACTCCACTCCACGAGGGTTTCGGAGAACATTACATGCATTATATCTTTCTTGGGTCTTAAAGAGACGTGCTCCATCTGCAGCTGTGGCATTCTCACCTTTCTGACCGTCTTCCTCCTCTTGGTCAGGGATGAGGCGGAAGAATGTCCAACTGCAGTCCAGCTCCAACTGACCTTGTAGTGGTGGATGGGAACATCCAGGTCAGGAGGCATGCTCCACTCAATCCTGGCTCCCACTGTGCTCCCAGGACCAAAGCTCATATTTGCTACTCTCAGCTCAGTGGGAGCAGGAGGATTGGAGGGATCTGAGGGGCACATGTTGGATGTTATTAATATCTGTTTGCATGCAGAAACAATGACCTTTAGTGCACTGACATGTGCTTAGTTTTTAACCCATCCTGCAAAGTTCACAATAGGCCGATTCATTCACACATTACTCTCAAAAAGAACCAAAAAATCGATTCCAGAAGACATCTGCCGTATTTACAGGTAGTACTGTGTGGCAGGCTGTGGTTTGTGGCTTGGCTGCAAGGGAGGAGCAGTGGGTTCAGGGCATGGTGTCAGGGGGGCTGACCGCCATCATCTGATCATGTATTTGAGTATATCAGCAGGACCAGAGCAGCGGTCTGTGCGGCGTGAAGCGGAGGAGGGCAGCTGGAAGGCTGCTGCAGAAACAGATTACGGATAAAAA